CTTTTATATTATATAATTTAAATATAAAAATTTTTACTTATTAAGATAAAATTATGTACTATTGAGCTCTTTTAATCACTAGCAAATGGAAAATGGGACATACACTATGTTTCATTACACACTAATGATTTCCGTTAATTAATCTATTATATAGTGACGGTTCACTAAAAATAAATTATTGTTCTAGACATAAGATTAGAATCTACAAAACTCTAAACAAAAAACCGATTATTCAAAATATAGATCAATGTCTTTCGAATACCCAAACAAAATTTCAACTTAATTGAATGGTGAACTTTTGCAAATCGAACAGAATGGCCAAGCTGTACACAATACTACAAATGTAGAAAAACTATTATTCTGAGCACAAAATCAGAATCTATAAAACTCCAAACAAAAAAGTGACCATTCAGAATGTAGTTTAATGTTTTTTGAACATTTAAACAAAATTTCAGCTTAATCCAACAATAAATTTTTGCATATCAAACAAAATGGTAAAACTACACATAATACCAAAATTGTAGAAATTTCCCCGTGTTTTCTCAAATGGTCCATTGATTTCCTCAAGGATTCAGTGCCAACGATCACCATTTGCCCGTGGATCGTCATATCCAATCTCTGCAATTCCAATCGATTTTTGCTCCTAAAATTCTCAGACATCTCCAATTGGCTTCTCCTGCAATCCCTCTTCTTCACCATCATCACTATACCAATCACAGGCTTTGTCTCAATAATTGTCATTGCACTAATCGTAGCCTTTGTCTTTGAAACTGTACTCAGAGTGTCTTGCTTCATTGTTCGACCAAAGCAAGAGAGGGAGAAAGGAAAAGAGAGAGAAAAAGAAAGGGTTGGGTGCATTTGGAAGCTAATAGATTAAGCAACAGGAAGTTAATAGATTGAGTATGGAGGGTTAGTGTGTAATGAAGTGTGTAATGAAACAGAGTATATATATCATTATTCTTAGCAATAACAAATTATTATATGATGTGATAATAATTTTTATCTGATGTGATAATAATTTTTATCATTTTTTTCAATTTTTTTGAGTTGCACATCATGAGAAGTTTCATTCAACTTGATGTAATGCAACAATATATTAGCTTCCATATACCTTTTTCCTTTTTTTTTAATAAAATTTAGAATTTAATTAAATTAAACTTGTATTTAAGAATCCAAATAAATCTAATATTAGATCGCATGACTAACGGTATTAATATGTATTTAGTGGTTTTATATCATGTAATAAGTGTCTGAGAATTTGGCATGTTCCAATTGTGTCAAAAAACGCGCTATAAATCGGTTTTCATGTTAACAAAATAGACAATTGTTTAGATTACTGTTATGATAAAAACAAAAGAACATTTGAAATGGGGGAAGGAATTGTTTAGAGGATAAGAAGGACACGAAATCTATGATTCCCTTTCTCCTTTGAAGGTATTTACTATTTAGAACCAATTTAGTCAAATGTAACTATTCACACCTTAAATTAAAAAATTTACTATAATTATTGAATTTTCAAAATCAAATCTAATTAATAAAATAGAGAATAAAACATCCTTAATTTAAGTTGTATTAATATGAGTAAGGTGAATAAACTAAAAAAAAATAAAATTATTTTTATTATATAACTTAAAATTAAAAAAAGGAGATTTTTTTAATCAAAATTATAGGGTACTCTGCTGAGTGCAACTAACACTGTTTTCTTTTTCAATACAATAAATAAAGGTTCACGAGTAAAATATCATACCTTTGG